GAAGTGCGATGGATGGTAGTGCAAGTCAGTTGCGATATGGTTCTTGCCTGACTGTGAGCTCCCAAGTCTATAGATCCCCATGCTTGGGCCTGCGTGCGTCCTTGTCTTGCATGAACTTGGCAGCTGCGGTAAGACCCGTAGTTTGTGGTAGGGGTTAGAGCGCTTCGCCTGCTTATCATTATTTTTCCTTCAGTACAGTTTGCATCAGTTTAAGCTTCACGACGAGGCTTCTCCTTTTCTGCATGCGCGCACGAGAATGATTGTGAGCCTATTTTGCGCTGCATTGTCGGGGTGGAAAGTCATCGACACGTGAGGTTCGAATTCGATGTTCTTCGAAGTAGACACCGTGCTTGGGAGCAGTGGTAGGGGCTCCGTCACCGGCACTGCGAGCAGACTGTGTTGCTCCTGCTGCAACGACTGTTGCCACCCAATTGCCCACATTCGTGGACATAGAAACGTATCGGATATTCCTGTTGCGCTCAGGTCGCGATCCTGTTGCGTGCTATGCTTAGAGCCCCCATTGGTGGCCGAAGACAGATGCAAGATGCAATGTCATGTCCGAGATCATGGCTTGCTATATGATGAAGAAATATGCGTGGGGCCTTCGGAAGACCATGGAATTCTTGAGCTCAAGGCGACCAGGCGCTTGCTCAGATGACTTTGCATCGCGTCCTGAGATCGCCTGCCAAGTCTTGCCAGATCTGGAACTGAAGCCCTCTTTTCTTCAGCAGCTCCTGAGCTTCGAGCGGCCACTTGGCTCAAATGAAAGTGGCGGCGGCCAAGATTGTTCCCTGGAAGTTGCACCCGATACCAGTGAGGCGATTAGTCAGCCAATCCAAACAATCCTTCAGTCCTGGGCTAAGTTCTTTTTTTATGTCATTGGGCGCATCGTTCGCTTTCGCAAGCGCGCATGCCTCGCACGGTCTTGTTGCTGGCGTGTTGGAACGTACTGTAATTGCCATAGACAGCCCAGGTTCGGACTGGAGCGATTGCAATTTGAGCAGCTGGGAGTGCGAGGACATGTGCCATGGGCTCTCAAGTCTCGGAGTGGCGACAGCCGTCCGAAAGGAGCTCCTTTTGCGTAACACCTACATCAACAGCCAAATGGGGCCGTTGGCAGAGATCCAGCCAGCTCCTCAAGAATTCTGGCGCCAGAAAGAGTTTGGTCAAAAATGTCTTCCGTCAAAGGAAGTCGGTCTCAGGGTTTAGTCTTTGATTGTTGCAGGCATGTCGAAGGATCTCAAAGGTAAGCCTTCATTCCTGCAATCAAGACGGCCGCAGCAAGTCGCAGCGGTGAACTGAGGTTGGAGGCTCCAGGTCAAGGCTTGAAGCCGCAGAGGCTTGCTTGGATGGATGCTGGCCTCGATGACAGGCTGCTTGACTTCTGGCTTTCCTGGATTCGTTGTTCGCATGACATATGAATGGGCTTTTGCAGGCTGCGCTTGGAGAAGCCACCTGGTCCGACACCGACACCGACAACCCTGATAGTGAGGATTTCGTGCATGTCTCCGGAAGTCGGCGCATGTCGGCATCGGGCAAGCTAAGGTGCTGACCGCCTCAACCTCCAAGCTTGCAAACGAGACCAGTGAGCACCTGATTCGATGTTCTGGGGCTGTTCTGGGTGATTTGCCCAGTCATTGAAGAAACACTCCGCGGCGATTGTTTGTGCCTGGTGAGGAATGGGCAGCCTGTCTTGACCTGTATCTTGAAGCGACGCTTGTCGTCGCAAAATACTGGTGTGAGTCAGGACAGCGTGGACAGCTTAGAAAGGCTTTTTGGCTGCGTGTTCAAGACGGTAGCTTCAAGACTCTGCACTCCAGAAGTGGTCTCAAGTCAGTCTGACTTGAAGGAGCCGAGCAACGGCAGTTGGATGCTGCCTGCACAGGCAGGGCTGTCTTCATCCTTTGTAGAGATCAGGGACAGAAGCTGGGTCATGCAACCTACACGGTTCTGCAGATTGCTGGTGCGTGGAACCTCAAGGAATCATTGCTTCGATTCGCTAGCGCCAAAAATCGCGAACGTCCTTGCTGGATATATGGGCGACTTACAGCCTTAAGACAAAGTGCGATGAAACATGTCCAAGAATGTCCGCGAAGGCAGGTTGTTACAATGTTGTCCAGATAAATTAGAGGCTCAGCCTTCAAAGGGCGAACATTCGGCCATGGCCTGTCGTGACATCTACCACCATGTGCTGCTCTGGCAGTGCGCCTGTCTTGCCAGATGAGGATGCAGGCGGATGGGACGCATCATGTAAGTTCCAGATGTTTGGCAAGTGGGTCGAGAACTGCGGTGTTCTACGAGAAGCTCCTGATCAGCTTGGTCCTTCTAACACGACTACAAGTATAGGATCTCTCGTGGAATCGGATTCGGAAATAATAATGGTCTCTCGGCATGGCCTCAGAACTGCATGCTGCCAAGAGCCGTGTGACCACAAGTAGGGACGACAGTGAGCCGTGTTCGTAAGCCGCACGGAGCTTGGAGCCTGGCAGGTTCAGAAGAGGCTCTCCTGCCTCTGTGGCAGCGCCCGGACCTGTCATCTTCTCGGCAGCAGGCCAGCCCAGCCGTCCTGAACACCTGCGCCATGTGCGATGTTCTCTCCTTGCTCACAGGCTGACCAAGCAGTCAACAGTGCCGATGAAGAGAAATTGGTGGAGCTGCAGAGAAGGCCTTGGGACCATATGATTTGCTTGTGACGTCCGCGAAGTCTCCACTCAACTCCGAGACAATTAGCAAGCTGGCGAATCTATTGCACAAACAGTCCTGGCCATCAAGAAAGTGACACCATGCACCTCAACTTGCGAGCTTAATTGCAGAATTTCCTGAAGCGATATCCGCAATATCCTGAGGACCCTGCCAACATTACCTGCTACCTACTTGGAGCCAGTCCTTGCAAAAGTCAGGCGCTCAGAGTGGTGGAACAGGGCCCTGAGCAACCTTGGTCAATGCTAAAGCTGTTGCTGGAGGATGCCAGGGCTTCGTGCTTGGCTGCCAGACCTGGGCCGAATTATCCCTTGCTGCTAGTCGGTGCTTCTTGGCTAGGAGCTGGCGGACACATCAAACAGCAAGTTACACGTGGTCTGCTGAAGTGCAGCAAGGACAGCACGGGAACCGTGGCACTTTATGATGTCGATCCCAATGTCGGCGAGGTTGCTGACTCAGTGCTGTCAAACAGGTGCTAGAGTAATTTGAGCTGCAATTTCAAGGTTGCCGCACTTCGACTCTCTGAGGGCCACACTGCAGACAAAATATGGTCTCTGTCGATGCAGCAGCCGCTGGTAGAGGTTTGCTGGGGACCAGGCGGTGGCTGCTTTGCTGTGGCCTCTGGGGGTGGACCCTTGGCTTAAAATATCTTACTTTGTCCAAGTGAAGCCACCTTCCTTTCCAACCTTCGTCTGGGTCGGAAGCAGAGGCAGAGACAGCCGGCTCCTGGGTCTCCGCGATCGGCAAAGTCGCTTCTGTGCCCGTCAATTTTGCCTTTATGGCTTTGAATCCTCCGTGCTGGGAATGCAAAAGCCAAGGCTCTAAAGGAGTGGAGAGCTGTTGCATCACCATTTGGAGTGTCCACTCCTCTGGCCGTAAATGCTCCGTAGGCGCGCATGATCACAGCTTTGCAAGAACCCAGCTACCCAATGCAAGACATCCGCACTGAAAGGCGAACTGATACCAGCAATTCGGCGCGAATGGGGCCTCCGATCTATGTGTTTCTGCAACAGTGGCTTTCGAATTGCAGTTGCAGCTTCAGCGGGGCCTTTGTGCACCGTTGTTGTTCTCTTCGATGTTCCTCGGCACAAGGAAGGCCACACAGGATACATACATGAGCAGGCTGCCGGGGTACTGTGCTGGGAGTGTGTGTGCCGTCGGTCGATTTCAGGCCGATACGCTTCTGGAAGAGTGCCGCCTGGTCCTTCCAAAGATGGAGATGCACTGTATTGGTCACTCCCTCTCTTCGACAGGACCTCGTGACCTTGTGTGCAAACTCGGCAGTGTATGCCTGTCACTGCCTGTCGTCCGCTCGCTAGAAAGGAGTCGCTTCGGAACATCTTATACTTGCGGCAGATCGACGCGTCCTACTCTGGGGACTTGAAGGCACCGGCCAAGCTGCCCCAACTTCGCTGGAAGTCTCGTTTTTTGCAAGGCCGGTCAACTGCCTCAAAACAAGGGCATGCCGGAGCCAGCGATTTACGGCAAGTTGATGCCATCTACTGGGACGAAATTCCCAGCGCACTTGTCTGCATCATGAGACTGCAGTACTGACTTAGAATTTCATTCGTGACATGGCGACAGACACTTTGCACTAGTGGCATAAATCATAATGCGACAATTTGCCAACCTATCTGTTTGAGGTCATGACTTGTCATTCTCGGTGGAGAATGAGAGTTTGCAGGCCAAGGGGTACACTGTGCACGATCATGTCGGGGAAGATTTAGCTGCTTCGTCCGACTTCGCGTAGAATGCGAGAGAGCGGTAGCCGAGCACACGATTACTTCAGACTGACATACACAGGTTCTTGCTGTCCATGAAGGGGGCCTGGCACACCAGCTGGGCGTACGTGGCGCCTCAGGCACCGGCTATAGTACTATAGTCGTGAAGGATGCAATGGCGCTTCTGCCGGACCGATGTGGGACAAGAAGCCTGACATGCAGACACATCGCCGTGAGAAGCAACCAAACGGTGGTAGCGAGATCTAAGAGGCCGCTCCTTCGGCATTCCTTATTGACTACGTAGATGTGCGGCCCTTGTCAGGCGCGCACACAAAAGAAAGGTGCCACTTAGCCTTGCGGTCATGTTGAAGCTCATTTTTTCGCGTATTCATGAGAATTTGTGCATGGCACCATGCACGAACGCATCAACCTGTCGCTGCGCCCTGCATGTTCTGCCAGAAGGTCCCGACGTACGGGGATCTGTGCGTTCATAGACGGCTTGGTAGAGTTGTTGACGGAACATGCTGCAATTTGGAAGGCTGGTTACTGGCTGGTTGGCGATCACTTGACCCGACGACGATGGGAAAATCCCTGCATCTGCAACTGCCGCGGAGCAAGGACGAGGTGGAAAGTATGCTGCAAAAAAAGCGAGTGGCTTCTCTGTCAATGGAGCCGCCTATTGCTTGTCATACCCTTCGGCCCTGCCAATGTATGCACAAAGGTTCTTCTTCGCTTGCAGCCCCCGGATTTGAACCTACAAACATTGGATCTTGGCAACAGCCGTGTGTTGTGCGCTGCAGCATCTCCGGACAACACGCTGCTGGCAGTGGGCTGCGAGAGGGGCGATGGCACAGCAGGCCATGCGCAGTCTCCTCACTACAAAAACCCGCTTGGATCAGTCTCTCCAGCTAAGGAGGGCGGGCGAGTTGTGCAACGTTCGTGCGACTGTTCTAGGATATCCTTGGGCACTTTGCCGTGCCGTCCACACCTCCCACAACCAGTTCACCTTGCAGGTCAGCTCGCGGGCAACCTAATGGAAACCGTCGAAGGCGCCTCATGTCGTCTTCCTAGTTTGTGCACGTGCAGACCCTGCATGGCCATCAGGCGCCATGGGCTCCAACAAACGACGATCACAGCGCTTTTTAGAGCATTCCAGCACTCTTTCAGTGTGGAGCCTCGAGACGCAAGAGCTGCCTTGCCGGAATCTGTTGTAACTGGATGCGAGCGATAGAGCTGCCGGCGGGAAGGCAGAGTCTTGTAGCAGAGGCTATGGCGGGCGAAGGAGGTGCCACTTAGCTCGAGCATTCCGGCCCTATGTTGGCTTGACTCCTCCATGCTCGTCGTGGCGCTCACCCAGACAAAGTCTGCTGCCGGGCTGCACTAGTCACTAGTGAGTCTCTTGGTATTTGCCGCAAGTTCGAAGACTTATAAGTTACTATACGCCGTCTACCCGACGACAACAGTGTGAGCTGAACCGAAGACTAAGACAAGGTTGGACTGGTGAATGCAGAGTCTGGAGCTCTTCTGCGGAGGTTCAGCGATCGGGGCTTGCCAGAACCTTCAATTCTAAATCCCAAAGCCTACTAGACGAAAACGTTGCTTCGCATCTTATGACCGTACGGGCGAGATGCGCCAGGTGGTTCTTCAACAATGAGACCCCGCAATTACTTGCTGCCGCAGACGGTTGCCATTGGGTGGCGGTGGGCTTCCGATCTCAGCGGTGTCTCGCATCTCTTTGGGCATCCATCCCCATCCTCATCTGTCTTGTATCTGCTGCTGAGGACCGGCCGTGCGCCGGCGCACTGTGCTGTTCTTGATCGAGATTCCGGTGGTGGCACGTGGATTCCCTGTGGGAGCTCCCGCGCCAGACCGGTGGTTGCCTGCTCCGACACCGGGAACTTCCTCGCGGTTCCTGGCCGAGTGAGTGCTGTCGCCGTCGTTTGCGCCGTGCTGTGCCGTGTTCGGTCACTGCAGGTGGCAGGGGCAGATCGGAAGCCATCGACGGCACAACCTCTGGATGCCAGCCCCACCAAAACCCCGACCGTGGACACGACGATTTCGGTGTCCGGATTGCATTTAAGCAAATTTTCTGTAGTGGGCTGTTTGTGCCTATCTGCAGGCAGCGGGAGCTGCGGAGGGCGCCAGGCTTGGCGGCGGGGCATGCAAGTATCTCTGCTCGATGCGTCGATATTCGTCCTGTATTTGCTGCTTTGCTTCAGGTCGCGGTCGAGGCCTAGGGGCCTAGTTTCATCTCCTGGGCCATGCTTGACTTTCGTTGAAATCCTGCGACAGGGGACTATCCATCTGGCAAATCGGTGACATGACTCGACAAAAGGTGCGGAGCTGCACTGTGGAAGGCTTCGTTCTAGATTACGTGTTGGCACAGGTGAGCGGAGTGGCGGGACAATGGGTCGCAGAGAACGTGGCCTTGGATGGTGACCTTCTGGTGGCTTGTTTCCAGGGTGGAGGCATCATGAAGGCAGATGGCTTCGGTTTGCCTGCATTGCTGTGATAGAGCCGTGAGCCGCCGTCATGCATTCTATTTGCAGGCCTTTCGGCTACCGGACGAGGAGCTGTGCACTGAAGAGCACGCGCACACTTTGCAGGCCGTGGCGGCCAAGGGTGACGATCCCACGAGTGGAGTGGTGGCGGCAGCAGGTCCAGGCGTACACTCTCAGAAGACGGTCGTTGGCTTGGCTTGTTGGATCAGTCGACAAGGCGCCCAAAAGGCCAATCTCACTTTCTCGTTGCCCGGGGCTGCTGTTGCCGCACTGGCCTTTCTCCCGGGGCATACAGCGCTCCTTGCAGGTGGTGTGAACTTGCGCGCTATGGCCGTGGCGTGCATTTGGAACTTAAACGATGCAGGCGCTGCGCGAGAGATCTGCGAAGTGCGGTTGGACATGGGCCCGGGGCTGCGCTGTTTGGCCATTGGTCACGACGGGAGCCAGCGACATCGTGATGATGCTAGGCGTTCGGGTTCGCCTACCGCCAAGGAGCCACGATCAGGTAGAAGGCCTTCACAGACTGGAGTGATTCAACCGACCGCCGAAGCATTGCCTGCAGCCGTGTTGGCCAGCAGTGGGTCAGATTCCCGCATCGTCGTGCATGAAGTGCGGTGTGGCTTCCGCACTTTTTTTGATATTAGCGAGCCTACAGACGCAGACCTTTTGCCAAGAAAGCAGCTCTCGCAATTGGCACCATCTGTCCTACGCTTTGCGAACTCCGGCCGCTTGTTGGCTGCTGGGGACAACGCAGGACGAGTCCACCTCTTCCTTTTGGGACGGCATCGTGCCGAAAACGATGTTGTGCATACGCGCGTGCAGGCCCATCGAGTGCTCTCCTTGAGCGGACATGTCTGCGATGTCATCTTGAAAGGGGAGCAGCTGTTTAAGGCGGTTTGCCTCCAAAATCCAATGGAGTCGCCCGAGCAAGAAGCTCCGCGTGGAGATCGGTCCGTGCTGGTATATGACCTCCTCAACCCGTCGCTCGAGTTCATGCTGCCTGACCTAAAGATGAAGGCTGACGACGTGTCCCGGCTGAGCCATCTTTTTTTTGCAGCAGGTGCTGTGCTGCACGTGCACTGACAGACAGCCCTCCCAAGTTTCTCCCGAGCTTGAGACTCGGGATTCACCGCGGAAGTTCTGTATAGGCTCTGAAGTACTGCACTCCTGCACAATCCCCCTAAACTAATCGAACAACCCTGCAGTCAATCTCCCTCCGGCTGCAGCCTTTGTAGTCCCACAGTCTTGCAATCCTTAAATCTAAATCAAGATTCCAACCTCAAAGCCCAACCATTGAGTGTTTTCCGAAGCTTATAAGTCCCTGCGGCGCTGGCAGGTGGCAAATAAAAACTCCTAGCCTTCTGACCCTGACGAGCCTCACCGGGAACGTCCGAGTTGAGAGAGCCCAACCTCTTACAAACAGAGCCAGGTGCTAATTTGTGTCGAGGCGCTGATGAAAACCGCCTAAATGTGAACCATGAACAACGCCGTCCCTTCTTGCGCTTGGTATAGTCTCAGCCTGTACACTCGTAAAGCAAACTCTGTTTAGGCTCTCATTCGGAAGAGCTTTTACCCAGGCTCGTTTCAATGAGCAGAGGGTGCATGCAAATGACTGTGAAACAGCGGGCGACAACAGGTGTACCAGAGTTGGGTTAGGGTTAGTGTCGAAATGTCTGACGTGGAGGTCGAGAGACAGTTTAGAAGACCATGTGAGCCGAGGCCAGCTCAGCATTCTGTGCCCAGTTGGAGATGCTGCCAAGCCTGCTGCACCAGCAGCTTCCGCAATCAGGCTTTTACTTGCTAGCTGTCTTCAGACTGTGGTTTGTGGATGCTCTGCGAGAGGCTGGACGCTGCTTCACTGCTGCGCCTGCCGTGGTCAGGCCCAGCACGCTCGTTTGCTTGTGCGGCTGTCGGCATCACCGTTCCAGCGCGATGCCGTTGGCCGCAATGCTACCCGGTCGCATGCTTCAAACGCTCTCTCATGCTCTCCCGCTGTCCAGATGGTTTGTTCCGGAGGCTTTGGATGTCGCACTACAGCATCACGAGTTTGGTGTCGTAGAGGCCGGACATCTTGGGACCGAGAGTCCAGATTCGAGATCACGTGGGTGCTTGCTAGCAGGACCTGATGATGGTCCTTATGGAGCAGAGGCACCATGTCGAGTACGGCCATGCCTGGGACCAGTTTGGTGAGAATGCAGAAATTCTGGGCAGGGAGCTCCTGCTGCAATTTGCTGCAAAAGGTCTTGGACAGGGCGTTCGGGTATCAGCTTGTAGCCAAGGCGCTGCTTGCCTGCAGCCTGCCAGCAGAACACCAGGCGCAGCATTGCGTGCCAAGATTGATTGGACGACTATCTTCTGCCTCAATCTCTGCCGACTGCTTGGCCTCTTCCCCCTGAAGGCTTTGACACAAACCGTCGTGCGGCTGTTGCGTCACAGAATGGCAACTCTTCCGGACTTCCTCGACACGGTCTGCTGTGGAGTGTGCGGCACACAGACTAGACTCGGCAAGTGCATGGCTAAAGCTCTAGACTCTGGCTGTTCTCTATGCGTTTGTTGAGACGCGCGAGATGCGAAATTCGAAGCTGAAGAGCTCGTCGGTCGATGTCGAAATGCTTGGCCTTCCTTACATGGTGGGGCCGGCCCTGGGAGTCTTATCATTTGTACGTGCCCCATGGATGTTTTCATTTGCCTACAGAACACAATTAAAAGCATGTCGGGCTGCCTAGCTAACACAATGCACCGGAAATGCAACAGCAATTTACGGCCTGCCTTTGCCTCGTTCCTGTCGGCAGAGACTCCTGGTGACAAATCTGCACTTTGGAATGAATATGCACAGACGGCGGCATGCGCTTATCTTTGCGGCGGATCTCGCCCCTATGAGAATGTAGAACGTTGGAGTCCGTTGGAGGGACGGGAGATGCCTGCATGCCAATAGTGGCAATTGAATCCTCTGAAGATGTCTTAAGCGAAAGACGTTACGTAGAGATTTCCGAATCGGCTGCAGGCTCTCAGCATGTGCTACCTGTTTCTGCCCATGCAAGACTTATAGAAGACCAATCGGAAGGCCTTGCTTCGTTTTTGAGCCGTTGCGCAGGCCGCGGCACTTCGAAGTGACCAGGGCGGGAGAGAAACTCAAAGTTCTGCCGTCGCGAGCTGCTCTGAAGGCACCCTGTGCGACTCCGGGAACGCACCGTCGATGCTGCTGCAACTGGCAATGGCAGGAGAACGAGTTCATGATCAGAGCCTACAGTGCGCCGGTTTTCCGGCCCGAAGCGTTCGAGTTTCAAGGAGTCTTGGCAGAACCGTGGAACAGCCAGGTTTGCTGAGATGGAGAGCTGTTCCTGAACTTTCCTCTCAGGTCTGGTGCCAACCTCTGAGGACGAGTGCTGCAAATGTTCCCGCCCTCCTGCCAGCGTGTGCACCCTCGCGAGGATGTGCACATGCCTGAGCGGCCGGTCGAAATCCGAGTATGGTACCTTCGGGGTGCCCTAGATGACGACGTGGGCTTCATCCCAGCACTGAAGGTGCCAAGAACCACGAAGAAGAAGACTCTTGGAAAGTGAGCAAGCTGAACAAAACAAACCGAGGAGTCGGAGCACGAAGAGATAATGCGGACCAAGTTCGTCCACGTCCTGCTGGAAGAGCAGTGGGCAAAGGTCGGGCGAAGGCACGCTGGCCTTGAAAGCAATGTCCATGCGGTGCTCCGTCAAGTCTTCCATTCTTTGTGCTGCAAAATCAGGCAATTTCGTCTTGAATTGGTGCTGTATTTGATATATTTGGTGGGATTTGCTGGCTGGTGCATAACGGGCCGCGCAAGCTGTGCGGATCCTGGGCCTCCAGAAGACGAAGCCCAGGACTTTAACAATCTGGTCGGCCTCTCGGCAGCCCTAGCCCTAGCTGGCCCTAGCTTATCGTTGTCTTGCTGCACATGTGAGCTCGGCTCCATCCCAAGTCATTCAAGACCATGGGCAGGCGAGAGGGGGGCACGAAACATGTTTTGGGGATGGCAGGGTGGGCCTCAGAAAGAGTCCAGTCAAGCCTGTCGCGGCCACGGTGGTAAGCAACACTGACACACAACAGCTGCGTCAGTTGCTCAATCAGAGGCTTTTCTTTCCAGATGTTCCGCGCGCCTGGGCGAACACTGACATGGCCGTCCATTGCTTGACAGATGCCCATCGAGCACATGAAGCTTGCAGGCTGTCCTTGTGATATTTCAACTCTTCTTCTTATACGAGGACACGTGTGTAATCACAATACGCTCCTCGTACTATTCAGTGGACCGGTTGAGTCGCGTGGGTCACGGCGATGTGTTTAGCAGAGGGAGACCCGTCGGAGCGTCGGGAGGAGTGGAAGCAACTCGCCTACGAGGTTCGAAGAGCGGAGACACAGCTTATCTGAAGCCTTGTTCTGTGCTTATGTTGTGGTTTGCGTAGCTCCCTGCTTACAGCATGCCCTGAAGATCCCTTGAGGAAGCAAAGAGTGTGGTGGAGAAGATGCGGGCAGTGCTCAGCTATTTTACAACTTGGAACAACTTGGACATTGTGCGAATCGCAGCCGGGTCCAAACAGATTCTCTTGCTTGGTGTTTGCAGCCTACCCTGCTGGTCCACATGGTTCCTTCTGCGTTTGTCGTTCTCTTGCGGCATGTTTGACATTCGACGAGGCGCTCGTCAGGTGCTGTAGGATGTTAAAGAAGCCCGTCAATAGTTTGGCAACTTCACCGGCTTGTACGAAGTAAGGCCTTGGTCAGCACGGCTGTGGTTTGGAGCGTCCTAGACCGAGCAGGCCGCTCCATGAAAGCGGGCAACTGCCTCACGCAGGATCTTGAAGCTGACAGTCTCCTCGATGGCCTTTCGGCTACCAGTGGCTCCTCTGGCCAAAGACGGCAGGCCATACCTGGGCTCACGGACAGTTGCAGTTTTTCTGTACGTGTTACTTTGCAGAAGAATAAACTCAGCCACTCGGGGTTTTCACATGTCCGGGTTTTTCGCGGGGAGCCATGGCAGCAGCGCGGAATCTACGCCGCAGGGACACGGCAGATGACTTGGCTCGGTCCTGGAACTCCGCCATTGCCCGCTTCGAGCACGTAGACCCGATCCTGAGGGTCGTGGAAACTCATCATTCAGAGCTCGGAGCTGTACATGTCGCGACATGCTTGAACCGCTTGGCAAAGTGTGCACAGACTCCATGAACCCTGCAGCGAGATAACCGCTTCTGGATGCTCATAGATGCATTTTGGAACCACTTGTAAGATGGTCCAGCTGTCCGCGCTCCTCGCTGGCTTTCCAACTCCTTGTGGGCACTTGCATCTTTGCTTCTCCGCAGCGAAGTTCCAGCAGCGCACGCATGCGGGCTGATTCAGCAGAGCGCCAGTGAACTCTCCCCACAAGGTCTGAGCAATGCTTTGTGGACATGCAGGACTTTGCGCTACTCAGAATCGCCCTCGATTGTGACTTTGACCACGACATCCCTGGAAAGGCTGCATCATTCTAACCCATAGAACATGTCCAACGCTGGGTGGAGGCTGGCCAAGACAGCCGCACTCGGCCGATCGCTCTTGCAGGGACCGGGCCTTAGAGCAAACTTGCCGCTTTGGCCAGTCCAGGAACTCGTGAACAGAGGGTGAACGCCCAGGAAGGCCGCACTTTCGAATGCTCCGCTTTGGACAGCAACCTTTGAAGCTGCAGTGGTGAAGCTGCAACAGCTTACGCCGCAGGACCCGGCAACCATGGCTCGGAGATTTGCGACAATTCTCGAAAGAAGCATGCCCGCGTCAGATGCCTTTGGGGAGGCTTCCATGAAGCTACTGGCGTGGTTCAAGCCGAGGCACCCTGCGATTACAGCTTGGGATCATGCCAGTCCAGCCGCGTGACGCGAGTCACTGTCTATGGGGATTGCCTTTACCGCCGAAGCAGCCGCGGACGACTTCGCGAGGGCATGTCCGGAGGAAGATGGAGCCCCGTGCCAAGATGTTGCACTCACTTTTTGGGCGTTTGGCGCTGCCGGGATTATTTGCCGGGCTTTGCCGGCTGCCTTGTCCAACATCGCTCAGGACAGAGCCCATCAGCTGAATATGCAGAATGTCTCCAATGTTGCACGGACATCGAGCAGCTTGCTGTGGAAAGGCCGGCCGCCTCCGTCAGCTCCTGGCCACCGTGCTGTTGGCTGTTCTGGAGAGACACGTGGACCACAAGAGGCTTCCAATGCGGCTTGGGAATTCGGAACGCTGGCAGCATAGGATGCAGCTCTTCTTGAGGCATCACTGCAAGCCAGCGCGGAACGACTGTCCGAGCACAACGCCCAAGAGCTCTCGAACACGGTTCGGTCGACTAGAAATTCAGCAATGCTTGGCAGCAGCTTGATTGATGCAATCGGGGATGCCGTGCAAGACACGGTTGGCGGATCCGATGTCCAAAACCCTGCCAATACAGTGTGGGGAACGGCCAGCACGGTGCACGCAAAGGCACTTGTGTTCGATGCCATCGGCAGGCGCTCACTTGACAAAATGCCGGAATCCACCTTACAGGCGGCAGCCAACACTGTGTAAAGCTGTGCGACATCGTCTGCAGCTGGCCTGCTTTTGCTTGATGCTGCTTCAACTCAAGCATTTAGATTGCTGAAACGGGCTTGCCCCAGCCCATCGGAGACTGACGGCTTCTTGGTGGATGTTTGTGCGCTTGGCTGGTCTTTTACATTCTTGAGCTGGCAGCACCCGATCCTCGGCGAGATCCGCGAAGTCGTGCGAGAGGTCGGGGCGAGGATGGATTTGGCAGCTGGATTTCTGTCAAACCGGCCGCACGCGAAGCACACCGTGCACCGCGCACGAGAAGCTGCAAAAACGCAGCAGCCAACCGTTCTGGGACTTCATAGTGGCATTTGCATTGTGTTGAAACCCCCTGGCTGGGAGGTGGACAGCCAGGGCCAATCTGGATTGCGCAGGTTATCGTCCTTCCTTGAACAGGAGCTGTCGTCGGCAGTCGTGCAGCTCTCAGAGGAGCCGCGATGTGGACGTGGGTTCGTTCATCGGCTGGACGTTCCCAGTTCAGGACTACTCCTGGTAGCAACAAGCTTTTTGGGCTATGCCTATCTAGAGTGGCAGATGTACACGTACCAGATCGTGCGAGACTACGTCGTTGCAGGGCATTCGCTTGTGGCTCCGACGCTCTGCCTGAGGGAGAGGATCCTCAATCTGACGACGGTTGTATGTTCAGAGCGGGGGCGTCCAGCAGAAAGTCACCTGCGACTGTTGTGTTGCTGCGTCCTTCCTCAAGAAAATTCTGTCTCACTGCTCGCGGTCCGCATTCGAACGGGAAGGCGCCATCAGATACGGGTGCACTTGCAAAGCGTGTGCCCATCCGTGGCTGACCATCGATACGGTGTCCGCACGATACTTTTGTTTCACGCGGCATGGCCGGAGGATGACATCGGATGCCCCCCAGAACTCCCAGCTTCCTGATGCGGTTGCATGATCTTCTTGAGAGTCGCTCTCTGACACTCTCAGCTCCAGGTGTTTTCCTGGGCGACGGCAAGGACCTCTTGGCTGTAACGACCGTCTTCGTTTGCTCAAGGCTGACGGAGCTGTAGGCTCGTTTTCGTGGGGTCATGGGGTCGCTTGCTTTCCGAGCCATCGAGGTTGATCAGCTTCCTGCGGGCATTTCCCAACACCGGCCACCTCGTCAGGACACTGCCAGTGTTGTCGGGCATGTGTAAGTAACCACTGCAGTTTTGCACTTTCTATCAGTGGTCGTTTCATGAGGACCCTGATCACTATTTTTTGGGACATGGCCGTTTTCTTCCGCCTCATGCTGCTGATGTTGCTGACCTTTGTTTTCGCCTTCCTTCTGCGGCCTGGCAAGAGGACTTTCGGCGGCTCTCACGATGCCAACAGGGAGAAACTTTATCATGTGTTTGCGCAGCAGAGGCTTTACGACCAGCCTTTCTCGGTGGTGGGAATTGGTGAAATGATGTGGTATGTCTACGTTCACGGTGTCTTTGGTGACGCCGACCCTCCGCCGGGCGGTGCCGCTGCCTGGCAGATTCGACACTTGTGACACAGGGCTCCCAGAGTCAGACTTCAAGAGTCAAGAGCTTCGAAGGATGACTCGGCATGGGTGGCGCGACTGATGCTGATGAGCTGCGTCGTGGTTATGCTGGTTGTGACTTCGGCAAGGGAGGATTGCATAACGCAAGTAAGGAGTCGACAGCAAACTGATTTGATTTTTCCCCCGGAACTGAACATGGCTCTAGGTGATGATGAACTTTCTTATTGCAGCCTGGCTCGCATCTTGTTCCATCTTTTGCCATGCTTCCTTGGTCGGCTGTCAATGTGCCATGCAGGCCATCATGGGAGACAGCTACGACAAGGCGAGACCACGGGTCACCAGGTCGGCGTCTGCCACAGTGAGCCCAAACATATCTTTGCGCAGGTCCAGGAGCGTGCTGAGGAAGCACGCAACGTGATGAGACTTGAGCTGGTCTACGAGGCCGATTGGTGTCATCTGCAGCTTCCAAGCTCCCGTCGACAAATCTCAGAGCAGGCAGAAGTCGCCAATGTCATCCCCAAGAGACACCAGCAAGAAAAGGCCTGCCGCATGGTTTCTTGAAGTCTGGGCCCACAGTACCAGCACTAAACAGCCCGTTGCCCCAATGCACCTCCGCCGTTTGTTTTTTGCAGTTGATTTGCCGAAGTCAAAAACAAGAAAACAGTGCCAGATGATAATAGGATCTAGGCAAAAGCCTTGTGCAAACAGTCAGGTAAGATTTCAGTCAGGTCCCAGCAATGTGCGACTTGACGCACGCAACATCATGCAAAATAGAATTCTGTATGCCCCTTGTGCCTCATACGTGTTGTTGCTGCCGACGCAGCTGCGGGGAGCCGTGCGTTTGACCGTGATGTCTGATCCGGAGACGGAACATGTGCATGCTTCTTCCGGATCTCGAAGACTCATGATTGCTTAGGGAGGCCCCCTCACGTAATCTGACAAATTAGAAATCGAAATATGAAGCAATAGCACAGCAGCAGCAGGAAGGCGGCAGAGTCTGCTGTAGATGTTGCAGGACGGCAGCAGCGGCGTTGTAGCAGTAGCAGGATGTAGCAGGGAGTCATCTTGGGGCTAGTTGGGAGTCGTTGAGACAATTTCGACAGTGTTGGAAACTATCACTCGGGAGGCCTTGCATGTCACTGCGCTCCTTGCATGTCACTTCGCTCCTTGACGAGGCCTACGTTTTCACGTGTGAAGGCGTCCGCTACGCTGGGGGTGGACTACAAGCAAGCCAGCAGGAAGCAAGCCGCTGGGAGGGTCGAGTACGCCAAGTGGAGTGGCTCAGCTGCCCGGTTGATGCGTGTGAAACCGTAGCCATGCGCGAAACACGCATCCAATCAGCTCGTAGAGCCTTCAGGAAGGCCGTGCGGCGTGAGACGCGGCAGACATGGATCACCTTGACCGAACAGGCGCCTCTCGAGAAACCGCGACTAAGCGCACAGAGCCTTCAAGCGATTATGTTGAGTTTGCCGCTTTTTGCTTTGCTGTCGCAGTCTGGTCAATTGGCAGCCATCGAAGACCGCATTTATGCGCTCGAGCTTGGGACCCAGTCGCGGGTGCAGCATGCTGTATCATGCTGTCTTGAGCGGACACGATGATGTCAGTCACTGAGGTCACATGTTAATCAAGGACATGCTCGCCTTCAAGAAACCTTAGTGTCTTGCTTAGTTGGCTGGGACTAGTGGCAGAGCAGCCGAACCGACTTCTCCTGCAACCTCCTGCATCTCCAATGCCTCAACCAGAACTGAACGGTGCAAGCCCTCCCTCCAATGTGTTCGCCGCTGTCGTTGTAGTGCAAGCGAGTCTCTGCGAATCTGGGCCGGGGACTCTACATTAGAGGAAAGTTTCAGAACCACAGCACTTGCCCAGGAGAGGCTTTTGGACACGTTGAAGAACGAGCCTCGGACAGGTACGCGGTCCACTCGCACCGTCTAGCTTGCCGTCCGGCATTATATGTGAACCGGCGAGGTGCTTCTGCGGAAGATCGATCTCAAAAGGTTCCCGCCTTGTTGCAGAGTGCGGCCCTGCCCTCGGCCTTCCTGTGCAAGCAATGTCAGCCACATGCACTTCAACAGATTCTTGTGGATTCGATTTCTTGGCAGTGCCGATAAGGTGTTGTACTCCCCGCGTACCCCTGGAAAGGGAGAAGCCGAATCCAGCGGCTGACGCACGACTGTTTAGATGTGGTGTCGCGGAGCAGTTCGTCGTTTCACCCAGCAGGTGGGCCGTCGAGGACATGGCCCTGCCAATGCTGTGTTTCGGCAAAACTCAAGACTGCGGGCAAAGTTCCTGCTTTAGTTGCAATTCGGGTTCTGGAGTGCTTGAGTGCTGTCTTAGAGCGGTGCCATGCAGGAGTCTCCTTTTCCTAGTCATATTATTTCGTAGTTGATGCCATACAAGGGCTGCGTATCGTGCTGAGTGCTGCTTCTGCATTCCTGGCATGGTCCGTGCGACTGAGCACTCTCGCAGAGGTCGTAAGCACGAGCAGTTTTTTCCTGATAGCTGCTCCTGTTTCATGTTCGGCAAGGGGGGTGGGGAGCAAACTGGAGTAGAAGGGAGAGGAGTGAAAAGCGAGACGAGAGAGATCGAGGGTGTGCCCTTCCTGTGGAGGCCAGAGCTCGCGCAGAGGAGAACGTGCCAAGGCCCAGGGCAGCGGTCGCGTTTCGTTTCTGTTTTGCGCTCGCCTTGAAGCGAAGGCCGCCGCCGCCCGGAGCGATTCCCATGGCCTGGGCAGCAGAGGACGAAACGGTTTGCCTGGGTCGACCCGGGCAGGGATGCAGAGGCCCAGCAGCTCAGCATGCTGCTGTTGCAGGAGGAGCCGGGACCTCCTCCGCCACCCGCACCGCCCGCACCTGCCTGAAGCCCCAGCTGCCTCGCGAGTTCCCACGGCGCGTGGCGTGCGATCCTTGCAAGCTTGGCCTCCGTGCAGGTTGTGGGGAGCACTGCTGGCATTAATGGCTTGGCACAGACTTTGCCCGATCCCAAGGAGATAGTCACTGCGTCACAGGTGGCCCTTCCAACATTACAAAGTCTGCAAGACGGTGGGCATGCAATCGTAACGGCAAGGGCCCAGAAGCCTACTGTGCTGTATGTACTTAAATGCCTTTACACGGGGCTTTCAGCTGTCAACAAGTGGCGGACACGTTTTTTTGTTGTTGTACAGTTTATTGGGGACATGCCTACAGAAATGTTACGAGTTCGGCCATTCTCTGGCTGCCTTTCATCGTAGAGACTTACATAAGGTTCAATGCTGAGCAGTTGCAGACAGAAACCAACCTCTCGGTGCTTCGCAGGCCGGTCGCAGCCAGCTGGAGCCCTGGAAAAGAAGGCTCGAGAAGTTCCAAGCTTTGGCCGGTTGTCCTGAGGCACATCTCCACCCGCTACGGATCCCACCAGAAGTGGCGGCTATCTCCTGTCTCAGCAAGCACAAGGAAAGAGTTCACCAAAGCCCCATCTCCGTCTCTCTCGCTCTCACTCTCTCTCTCTCTCTCTGTCTCTCTGTCTGGATTTGGAAATGGAAGCAACAGGAGTTTCACGAGACACACCGTACAGGGACGCTTGGGACTTGGACTTCCCATTAAAGCTGGCCAAGGCCCGAATCTTGAGAGCACCCAGGTGCCGGCAGCACCGCGATTAGCATTTTCTCAGGCGGACTGATCGGCTTGCAGTGGTCGTGCTTTGCACGCTTGGATTCCGTAAATGCAGGGACAGCCCAGCACAACGTCAACTGCGACTTCCTGGGCATCCCAGGCACCACATGTGGAGTTCCAGCACTTGTTCTATTTATTCGGGTGGTCTTATTCGGTGCACCCAGGCGTTACAGCGAGGTCCAAACAACAAGGACCCTCTCACTGGCCACATGCTCAGCTGCGGGGGACCGGTTTTCGGTCCTCGACCGTGCGAGCATAACGGCCTTCTGCATGCCCTGCTGGTCCGTTGGCAGCCCGTGCCAGTCGTGTTCCTGTTACGCCGGCCCCCGGGTTCCTTTTACCACGGCTGTGGGTTTCGGGAACAGTGTGCGGGCCCAAACCGGTTCCCGCTACTCCCCGCACCTCTGCTAGTGCTGGCACCAAAGGAAACATTCAAGTGTTCGGAGGTACTCGTGGCTGCTACATCGAAGGTCCGCCGAGTCGTCGAAGGGACGAGCACAGCAGGAGTCCCAGGTGCGTGGCGAAGGTGACGTGAAGTCATAGCAGAGCTTGAGTTTAGTCTTGCCTTTAGGCAGGGAGGCAGTCCAGGGCCAGAAACCAGC